ACCCCCCACCATGATGTAGCTGTAGCCCCTCCACAGCTGCCCCAGGTCCACCCGCCCCGGGTCGTCCCTGAAGGTGTCCAACATGGCCAGCAGCTTGGACATCATGGGGCTGTCGGGCACCACCTCATAGCCGTGGAGCTGGCAGCTGGGGGGGGGGAAGGGGAGGGGAGGGGAGAGGGACGGGGGGGAAAGACGAACCACGAGCGAGTGAAGCTGCTGCCAGGGCAAGAGTGTACCAGAAGTAGAACTGACCAGTAGGCGGTTTTGAAGGAGGAAGAGGGGGAGGAAAGTGGGGGGGGGACAGGGGGAGGAACAGGGGGAGAGAGAACGTACGACATAAGATGGGAAGGGGCTCAAGCTGCTTCCTGCGAAGGTGGGTATTGTATATTGTGCAGTGGGGGGTGTTTTGAGCTGAATTGAGCTGCAAGCAGCCCCTCCTGAGTGACCTGGCAGCGGAACAGAAACACGTGCAGACGGACAGACAGGCAGACGGACAGATAAGAACAGACGCACATCCCCTTACACGTCTAAGGTGCAGCCAGGGTAAGGTCTCAGAGTGAGGCGGCCACTCACCGTACAGAGTACGGCACCAATGAGCCCTTGAACGATTGTACGACGAAGGTGGTGATGATGGAAATGGGCTGTGGGAGGGCCAGGTCATAAGGCCCCACGATAATCCCGATGAAGGGCTCCAGCTTGGTGGTCTCGCACCTGGGGCCGAACAGACCACCATTAATAATAACATAGAAGTAGCAGCAATAGCCGCAACAATAGCAGCAGTAGTAGTAGTAGCAGTTGCTGCCGCCCCTCCCCTCCCCGCCCCTCCTGCCGCCGCCTCCCTTTTCCCCCCTTTGCCGCACAACACGCAAACAATATGCCCCAAACTACCCCCAGCTCTTCCCCCCCTGTGGCGCCATCATCCCAAGCCTTCCGCCCCTTTCCACCTAGAAAAGCACATCCCCTCTCCCCCCTCTCCTCCCCTCCCCTTCCCTTCCCTCCTCTACTGCCTCTCCCTCACTTGACTCCCTCACTCGCTCTCCCACCCAACCCCTCCCGCACCTGAACAGCGCCTGGTAGTTCCGCTGGTTGTCCATGTCCTTCTGGCTGGGGCTGGGCTCGAATACGGGGTGCGAGTGGTACCTGGGGGGGTGCGGGGGGGGGGTCCGGGCGCCGAAAGGGGTAGGAGGGGTTCGGGAGTATTGTGTGTGTGGGGGGGGCCCGCCGCCGCCTAGCCTAGCCTAGCGAGAAGAACCCCATCTGAGCTAGACCGGCCCAACCTCCGCCTTACTCCGTCACTCTCACCCCACCCCTCGCCCCAATCCTACCCGACCCTCAAGCCTCACTCACCAGCCCACGCACTGCTGTCCCTTAGCCTCCATCATGGACTGCACCTCCACCTGCGACTCAGGATCCAGCTCCACCGACGTGGCCGCATCGCTGCCCTCCGCCCGGCGGCACGCGTACGCCTCAATAACCACCAGCTGCCGCGTTTCGGGGTTCCACGTGCCGCCAAGCAGACCGATCACCTCGTAGGAGCTCAGGTGCGCGTGGAAATCCATCGCCATTAACGCCCACGTCGACATATCGACGGTGTACGGCTGCGAGCGCGGGGCGCCGCTGCCGGGCAGCCCCATGAACTCCTGGGGCTTCACTAATTGGAGGCTCTCACTCGTAAGGCCCATCTGGGCGCGTTGGCCTGCGAGCTCGCGTCGGGGGCGGTTGCGGGCGTACTCCGTACGGACGGCTACCGCGGGGACGGTCGCCGGCGGCGGCGGTGGCGGCGGCAGGACCATGAGTGGGGACACTGCCGCTGCCGCGGCCGCTGCCGCCACAGGCGCTGCCGCCAACGCCGCCGAAAGTGAGCCCAGCGGCGCCGTTGACGTGGCGTTCTGCTAGCGCTGCCACTAGGCCGCCGGTTCCCAAGGGCGCCGCGGGCGGTGGAGCAGAGACGCCGCGGGCGGCGCCGCGGCAACGGCGCCGCCGTCAGCGGCGCCGGACAGCAGTGCCGTGAAAGACCCGAATGCGGGCGCTGCGGAGGGGTTAGCGATGGGGGCGGCGGCGGGCGCTGCCGTCGGCAACCCCAGACTGCCTGCTGCTGTCAGCTGCGCCTGCGCTGCCGCTGCCGCCGCGGCCGCCACGAGTTGGGCGGGTGTGATGCCCTGAACACCGCCGCCTGCGGCCGCGGCGGCCGCCGCGACTGCCGCAGCCATGGCGGCGGCCGCCGCTGCCTGGTTAGGATCCTGCGACGCCGCCAGAACTGCCATCCCCCCGTCGTCGTCGTCGCCGTCAGAGCTAATCCCTCCGCCTGCTGTGAGGCCCTTCCGCCGCTTCCTCCCGGGCCCTCCCTTGACAAGCTTCTTACCCCGCTGTGGTTCCAAGTGTGGTCCAAATTATGAATGTTGAAAGCCGTTGCACAATCAGCCGCCGAGCGATATGCCGGGGCGCCAAAAAGGGGTGACAGGCGGAGAGGGAGGGGAGCAAAGCGAAGTCGGGAGGGGGGAAAGGGGACTACATGGCCCGTGTATGTATGCCGTTGGGGAAGATGGGGAAGGACACGGGCCGCAAGGGGGGACAAAGACCACCAGCGCACAACCAGGTCGCAACTCGCCGCAGTGCGAAGGCGCACAACAAAAGGCACGCGGCGGGGCTGCCCTGGGCTGGGGCCGCCGCCGGCAGCAACGAGGATGGCGACGCCGGGAAGGCAGCTGCTGTCTTGAGAACCCGAGAGCCGCACCCCACCGCACCGCACCGGTACCGGGGCACTGGAATGGCAAAGCGTGTCCCTCACCTCATCGCCCATCAGACCTCCCCCTGCAGAGGTGCTGCGGGGCGGCGGCGGCGGCGGCGCCTGATCGTCCGGCAGCCGGCCGCCGTACATGACCGGCAATCGATCCAGATCCAGTCCGGATAGTGCCTGTTGAAGCTCCTCGGGGCTAAGACCTGAAGCGGGCGTGTGTGGGCGTGTGTGGGCGTGCGGGGAGTTGACATTGGTTCGGGGTGTGAAAAGTTGTTTGGGTTGCACACACGTCGAGGAGGGAGGGAAAGGAAAGAAGAGTGCTGAGGCTGTTACAGGGCAGAAAACATATAATAAATATATAATTGCAGACTGCAGAAAAGCACTCCCTCGGCTGCATGTTCAGTCGTCTCATAGTATCTCCCCATCGTCCCCTGGACCACCACCACACAAAACCCCACGGCAGCACCCTAAACCTTACCCTCTACCTTGCCGTTGGCCGCATTTTGAGTACCTCATAAGCCCCATATTATTTACCCCACATCCGAAGTACAGCAGTCCCACACGGCCCCCACTCCCTGGGGGCGTCGACACCCCGCTTCACACCCCATTTCACAAAACCCAGCGACCCAGTGACCCACGGGTCAGTAGCTCCGGTTTGAAGCCGTATGACCTAGCCGCCGCGGAGTACGGATCCAGCATGGCGCCACTGAGCGTGTAGCCCAGGCCCGTGCGCGCCACCGCCATGGGAAGCGGCTTCCCGGCCAGGCAAAGCTTGATGAAGTACTTTTGGGCGTGGGAGGCGATGGCGCGGTGGTCGCGAGTGCCCACAAGCTCGCTCCCGCGCTTCCAATCGCGGCCGTGCAGCTCCATGGCGCGCAGGAACATGGCCTCTTCCTCCGAGCTCCAGGCGCGGCCCGCCTGGCGCTGCTTACCCACGTCCTTGCGCCGCCGCCGGCCGCTCTTAGTGCGGTCGTCGCCCTCGTCGTCGGAGTCGCCGTCGCCATCGGATGGGTCGCCGGCGCTGCCAGCGGCGGCTGCGGCTGCGGGGACGGGGGTGTCGTGACGAGCTGCTGCGCCTGAGCCTGACAGTTGGGCGGTACGGGGGAGGGGGGCGGCGTGCAGTGGGGGAGGAGGTACTCGAGAGGCCCCCGTGAGGCCGGGTTGGAGAGTTAGACAGCGGGCAAGTAATGCGGGGGCGTGGCCGCCGCGCAGCTGTGTGGCTGAATTGGTATGGCTGAATTGCGGGAAGGTTGAAAATCATTCGTGGCAAATAGGTGGGTCCTCTTTGAGTAAGCGGAGGCCGCCGGGTTAACGGGACCCGACGCTCTGCGTAGGTTGGAGTGTCTGAGTGGGCTCTGGAGCCGCCCGATTTGGCCGGAGAGATAGGGGGCCTGGGCGTAATTGCAGGAGCGTGGGGAGCGATGCGGTGGGTGCGGCATGGCTAGGCTTTGCTTGGCATGATGCAGGACGGTCGGTTGAGGCAGCGCACGCTTGGGAGGCGATGAGGCCGTTTCGAAAGGGTTCCCACCTGGCGGCCTGCCTCGCCCACGGCCACGACCGCCGCCCCCAACTTTTCGTTTCCTTTTGCGAGGCCCACCGCCATAATCTGAGTCTTCTGAATCGTCTATATAGGCGGCGTCGGCTGCATAGTCTGGGTCTCCTGCTCCATAATATTCGGCACCGAGCGCACGAGCGATGGCTTCATCTGCAGACGTGTCCATGTGCATCTATCTAGCAAGATGCGTCATAGCCAAGGTGCACCAAGGCAAGAAAAATATTTAGGCTGGCTTGAAATCCCTGTTTGGTCCTGCTAAGTTGAACCGCTAGTTTAAACCCTTGATAACGCTTGCATAATGTGTGGAAGGCAACTTTGGTTGCCTGCCGCAGATCGCTTGCTCCTCGCTGTTCACGATGTCGTCCGCGCCCAAACTTGTCCGTACAACCAGTCTGGATATTCTAATCGCAAGACATCACCTATGCATACGTTACCTTTTTGTATGTTTTTCGTCAGAAAATGTCTTTAATAGGCCGCCTTGCAACGAAGCAATCTGCTTGGCTTAATGGGTTGATTGCCAGATCGGCATGGGCATCTTTCGCGACTGCAGCTATAGATGAAAGTGCTTCACATCAACCGAGCACAAGCGGGTGCGGCCCGCAAACTTGTTTCGGCGGTACCCATCACCCACGATGGAATGCTCGGGCCCTCCTGAACGCAACCGGCGCTCGCCTCACACTGCAGGCAAGCAAAACGTATCCGCAGCAAGGAGCTTAGCGCTGCTTCTGTCGGCGCCTATTATTCCCTGGATCCGGCGGTGTTGCCGGAGGCTGGCCAGGTGTACGCAGGCGCCTTCTACGCCCCGCGCGAGCCCGGCCACGAGCGCCACGGGGGATGCAAGGCGCTCCAACAGGAGGTGTCTTTGACAGGCACTCATTCAATCATGTATCGGCCTGTTATGCATAATCTCTTTAACGCCCTCGGCGCTCACGACCGGCACCACCAGCGGCTGCTGCTCAGCGGCCCAGCCGGCTCCGGGAAATCCATTGCGCTGGTCGGGCTCGTGGAATGGGCACGTCAGCACGGCTGGTACGCCCCCCGTCCAGTAGCCCCACCTCGTCCTGCATCCCTTCCCGCTAGCTATGCCGTACGCCACGGCGCTGCACATGCACGACACAATCCCAATCACAGCTCCAGCCCACACTTTCGTTCTCTCCTTTCCTTTCCAATTGTCGCATCTTCGCATGCGCCATTTCCTGCAGGTCGCTAACCCGCCACCTCGCCGTGTTGCCTGCCTGCCTGCCTGCCTGCCCGGTTTTAGGATTGTCCTATATATCCCAAGCTGCTCTGCACTAGTCCAGGGTGGTTATTTCGCCCGCCGAGGCAGCAGCAACCGCTGGGACACCCTCACTTCGGCACAACAGCTGCTCAAGGGGCTGATGGATGCGCACGGACCCAAGCTCAAACAGATGCCGGTGCTGAGCCTTCTCGAGGAGCAGCAACCGCAGCAGCAGCAGCACCAGCGGCAGCCAGCAGCAGGGGCAGCCGCGTCAGACGGGGCATTATCAGCCGAGGCGGAGGCCGCGGCAGCACTGCGGGAGAGCTTTCGGGGTCGTACACTGTATGACTTAGCAACTGGGGCCCTACGCGGGGATGACAACGTAAGTGGAATGCAAGAGTAGGGAAAAGGGAAAGCGGAAAGGCGAGTTAGGAGGAGCGGTGTAGGACCCAAGCAAAAGCTTAAGGACCGGCTAGTTTTATCGAATGTAAAAACTAATGGCACGCATGGAGCTGGTGGGTCTTCTGTTGCTTGCTGCCCAGTAGCGGTGGTGATCAACGCGTTTGCTGGCCGGACGTCCTCGGGGATGGGCGTGCGTTCGTTCGCCCGGAAGGCGCAAGGCAGGGGGAATGCTGCTTGACGTTTCCTCCGCTGCTCTTGCCACTGCTGCTGCTGCTGCTGCTGCTTTTGCGGATGATGATGCTGTCGGGTGTTTGCTGTGTGAGCGGTGCGGTGCGGTACGGGCAGATTGGGTCGAGGGGGGGGTATGCTGCTGGCGGCACTCGGCCAAGGCTTCCGTCGTGGCTTCACGCGCTGAAACGGCTACCTGGAAGCGACACAGTGATAGTAGGGGTGCCGCGAGAAGGGCGGTGGCGTCGCCTTGTATGTGTAGATAGGGTTCTAAGGACGTATGTATGATGTGTAGCATCACGCTCCTCCTGCTCCTGCGGTTGCTTGCTCGGCCGGTCGTTGCTTGCATATCGTACGAAAAAACACAGGCGCAGTTGGCCGCGGACACGGTTCTGGAGCTGGTACGGCAGCTGATGGCCGCCTCTTCTGTGGTGCGGGACGGAAAGCCGCAGTCCCCCGTGCTGTTTGCGCTGGACGACTACAACTGCCTGTACGGCGGTACGGACTACGGTTGGTACTCGCCGCGCGAGGATCCGCGGAGGGCGCGGCGGCGGCCTATCCACTCGGATGACCTGGTCCTGGTGCGGGGTTGTGCGGGGTACGGGGGGCCCGGATGGTGATGTCCGCTTGCTGCCGTCCACCGCCACCACTCGCGTAGCTCACCCGCCGCATGCGACAATGTGCCCGATGCGCAGCCCACACCACCGCGGCCCCCCGCGCATCAGGCGGGGTTACACGTGTGTCAACTGCAGTGCCTGTGGCAACCTCCCTGGAGGGTTAGAGGCCCAACAGGGCGGAAGCACAGGGAAGCTCCCTGTGAATGGAGAGCCTCTTTGCATGCATGTATGTATGTATGCATGTATGTACGCGGTCTCCTGGCGGACAGGTTTGTTTTTTGTTCTGTTCGAAGCTCGTCGTCATCGAAGATCCTTCGGGTTCTCAGTCCACGTACTGCATCCGCGTGGTGCACATCGATGCGTCCCCTTCCCCTCCCTTCTCAAGCCAGCGGTTTATCTCTTTCCCAACTACCCCCCCGTCCATCCAGGCCTCGGGCTTGCGGCTGATGGATACCCCGCAGCTGGGGACCGCAACTGTGGTGGCGGCAACTACCACCTCGTTGTCGCTGCCAGCGCCGCCGGCACCGCCGGCCCTACGGATGCCGCACACGGAACTACGCGTGCCGGGCTTTAGCGAGGTAGGCGGCTGCTGGGGGGCAGCGGGATTGAGATTGAGACGTTGGGAAGCTGGCGGGGGGATTCCGAGCTGTGGGCATGTGTGTTGCGGCGTTGGTGTGCGGATGCCACCCAGCCCCGGGGCGTTTCTGGCTGTAGGATCCAGAAGGGCGTCCCCTCCTCGCGCAGGGCCAGTGTGAGTCCTCCAGGATGGAGTCAGGAGCCATGGGGCAAAGCCATCTCACAGTAATAAGCAGCTGAGCTGGGATGCATTTCATGTTTCCTGTATTGTGGGCTGAGTGGTTAAGATCCCGCTGGGATTCCGCAGCTCAGAAAACTGATTGTGCAGCTTGAAATGTGAACAAGGAATAAAACCGGTTGAGCAATTATTGGATCGGCTGGTAAATAATTGGCCAGTTTAAATTTCTGCTTGTGAATGCTTGCCAGTATGATAAACCTGCTTGTAGATGATTCCTGCAGTGGAAGAGCAGCTCTTGTTACAGGCGTCAGATATGGCTGTACATGTTGGTACGGTATGGAGACCTTGTTGAATTAACGGTTGTAAACAAACGGAGCAAGCACATCATGTCCTTTATGTCATGCAGCTCAGGAGCTGCACGCCAAGTGATCATGTCCAAAAAAACAACATTTAACTGTTGTCAATGAAACACACTAAACCGGTTCGCGGTGCTCAGGCACACATTTTTTTCTTCTTTGCATGCTTCGTATGCATACACATCAACAGTTGTTTTGCTACTAAAGTGCGTTATGGTTGATTACGTGCGAGCAAATATCGGCTGCTGCAAACCAGCAAAACGGCGAAATCGAATACAAACGCACGCCTGCACGCACGCATTTTGCACGTACGCGCGCGCGACTGGGCGATTAATCCTCCAGATGATCGACGCCATTAATCCAGGATGCCCCCTTTCCTTTCATCTCTCATGCCAGTTGGGCACATACAGCACCGTCCAAGTGCACACTCTCGCTCTCGTCATGCACACCAGGCGGCTCTCCATGCGAAACGCAGCGGGAGAGAAGTATTATGCCTAGCACGACAAGCACTAGCTTCAGTTACGAAGCGGGAAATTTATGCAGTGCCCTGTGAAAGTGCCCTGCCCAAAGCCTTTCCACCATAACCAGATTGTTGGTCTCCACGAGCTTCCTTCCGCCCAAATCAAGTCGACCCCAAAAGGGAAGCGCAACTGGGGAATGGGATGTAGGGTGCCATATGGCTCCTCAGGAGCGACACAATGTACCCGCAAGGCGATCCGTGTTTCGGCCATGCACCGTGAGACGGAAAGGAAAGCCTTCTTCGTCCTCCCGCCTTTCCACCGCTCCTCCGTAGTAACTGAGGTTGGCCCTTAGTGCAGTGCCAATCCACTCACGTAAATGCCACGCAAGCAGCAGCCACACGTTGCTCCTCGCGCCAAACGTGTGTGAAAGCTGCCTGTGTACGTATCATCCGCTTCCAAATGGAATTATCATAGCATACACACAGAAAGAACATCATATCCATCATTATTACCAACCCCTCGTCTACAAGGCGCTGGTATTCAACAAGACATCCTTGACAAATGTGCTACCCTCTTTTTCATTCCCCTCTTAAGTCCCTACCCCCCTCGCCACGTCTTATTGCTTGCCTACAGGCGGAGGTCCGGAACGCATTGGCCCATTACCACGCGACCGGCTACGCCAGCTGCCTGGCTACTTCACGCCAAGCCCGCCAATTGCACGCCCTTACACAGGGCAATGCACGGGAGCTGCGGATGAATACAAGCACGTTGGGCCTCAAGCTCAGCTAGCCATAAGAGCCGACATCCGCAAACCACCGCACATCACGAGCCTGGAGCAGCTTTTGAGATCGAGGCTGGGCAGAGGATACATCCACTCAAATGCATGCTGCGCCAGGAAAAAACGCTTGCCAAGCAAGCCGAAAAACGTTGCTCACCAATTGACGGGCGGAACACCTGAACCCACGCATCTGTACCATCATCTTCCGTCCTTCCACCCATTAACGCATTTAGGCGTAGGGCCATTATTGTTACTGACGAGACTCTACTGCGTACATACGCGGTCAATACCACCCCAGCTTTGAAATAATGAATTATTGCCATCGCAGAAGCGCAGGCAACCGGCGCCGCACGGCCGAGAGGCGCGCCACGTTGATGCGCGGGTATTGTGCGTGTAATCCGAACATGCTTTTTGAGGTGGGGTTGATGCCAGTGAATGTGGGAACGGGGGGACATTATGACGCTGATGCTGATGCCGTATGATGACCTATTTGACGAAGCGGGTGTACCTGTAACGTCGTCCTTCCCATGTTGCCATGAAAACTGCTAATCCCCCAAAAGCACGTAACGAAAGGCTATGTTAGCAATGGCAAACCCATGCACGTGTTTGTGTGTGCGTGCGCTTATCCTTGTGTGTGTGGGTGTGGGTGTTCACCCGGCTGCGTGCCGGGCTGGCAGCCCAACAACTCCAGGATCACGAAGGCAAAACGGCTACAGCTCACGTTATCCTCAAATTGCAGCTGCCCGACCGGATCATGGGCTAGTGGCCTATAAACCTAGTCTACCACGGGACGACAAAAGCATAACATCAAAACATCTGGAAGTACCTATACCACTATACTCGTTATAATACCACTTGGACACACGTGCATGCATATCGTCGCCATACATTTTCGAGAGGCCTAACCAGGCCACAGCCCAAACGGGCACCCCAACCTAGCTAGTCGTCAGTCAGAAACACAGCCATTACGAGCCCTTAGCAAGGTTCGGTTTCCATGCCTTATCGCACGCAGGTAAGAGCGGGAGCTGTATTACTATACGCGCGCGGAAGCACATGCATGTGTTCGCAATCGCTTGCGTGTTTGCGTGTTGGGAGAGCCAGAAGGCAGGCACCCTCCTCTATGCAAAGGGGACAGCCAACCCCCCTCGACCACCTTTCTTGCCCACAGAAGACCTATGCCACATCCGCTCCAACAAAAACGAGGCCACCATCCTCACTTACTTCTCACCAGTAATTTGGTACAGGTCATGGCAAGTGGAAAAGCGCAAACACAGACATGACTGGCTGCCCAGCATGGCCCGCTGCGCCGCACATGGAAAACCCCCGCGTATATCTCCAGTGCACCCTGGAGCTCTACTGTTGCTGACTACTGCTGCTGTGTCGCTCCACTGCTGCGGGCTTCAATGAGCGCATCAACTTTCAAAGCTGACAGCAGCAGTAGCAAGAGCAGTAGCCCCGACGAAGGTCGAACATGCAAGGTAAGCGGTAGCTATATAGCGCCTCCCCAACGCATGCATAATACATAGTGCTAAAAAGGGCAACACTTCTCAATGCATCTGCCTCGCGTCCCACGGTCAAAACACGAGGAAAAGGTCCGTACACCCAAACTCCCAGGAAACACCAGGCGTCTATGATGGTGATGTCAATAATTGAGGTCCGTGAAAAATAATACACATTCGCCCATGCGACGTCCTACAAACAGCTGTGCCCCATGGAGTCCCACGCACGCTAATGCATGAGGACAAACAGTGCAACCGGAGGCTGCAGTACAAGAATCAACGGCAACAAGAAGATTTCCGGGGATTCCCTTGGGTCCCAACGTCGCTGATCCAAATAGATGATGTGGTCGCGCGCGGCGACGGCGGGGACGGGGGGGGGGAGAAGGCAGGGCGGCCCTGCAAAGCTTGCCCCAGTGCCCCCAGAGAACGCCGCATCCTTGGGTCAGGAGGCGCCCGCAGCTTCCCTCTGACAGAGCGCCGCATGTGCGCGCATGATTCGATGCACTACATGCTCGCGCTCCTGCGGAGGCTTGCGGTGTAGCGTGCAAGAGCATCCGCGGCACAGCGGCACTACCTGGCCCTCAAGCTCCACTTCGCCGGCTGTTAACTGGCAGCAGCCGCGGCACTTGCTGAACCAGCCGCACGCGGCCGCGGTGTCCGAATCGCTAGAGCAAGAGTCGAGCGGAGCAGCTGGGGCGGCAGGTTGAGCTGGGATATCCCCGGCTGCTCTTGCTGCTGCAGATGGAATGGCGAGCGCCGGAACCGGAGTACCAGCTGCAGCCGGCGACGGGCCTGTTGGTTGAGAGGCTGGTTCTGCATAATCAAAAATATCCGGTCGCGTAGCGCTGGGCTTTAAAGGCCAGGAAGCGCAGTCGATACTGCCATGTTGCTGAACTGGCAACGGGGTAGAAGCACTTGACAATGAAGAAAGGTGTTCCGAATGATCAAACTGAACCGCTTGAGCTACTTGTATCCAACCGGGTAGTGCGGCAAGTGCGCCTTGAACCTGCGTACAGGTAGGTGACGATGGTTACACTTGCAGGAATCCGTTGTGCAACGCACAAGCCGTTTCTGCCGCCTGAAGCTAAGTTATAAAAAGGTTTCTCGTTCTGTATATATGTACCTGTGCAGCTACTGCAAGCCAGACTTCCAGCGTGCTGTCCTGTGGTAACACTGTCGTTGCCGAACTGCGCCCAAGCCCCGGCGCCGGCACAAGTGTATGTGATCCTGATACATCTGGCTTCTCTAATCCACAAGCCGTTGTACATGCGTCGATCGCCAACCGTTTCGCCGGTAGGAACTGCGCCAAGGCAAAGCCAACGGAACATTCGTCTTTGCCGCATGGCAGAAAATTGTCGCCAAATAAATAGAAATGCTAATCTAAAACTAATCGAGCAGGTTCACGCGTGCTGAGGCGAAACTGAAAGCTTCAGTCCCGCGCGATGCCTACAAGGCGCCACAAGCGCCAGCTGAAAAACGTGAAGGACGCGCCATGCAGAAAATCGTTATTTGACCATCATTTGACCCTCTCGGTGGTAGAAACGAACCCAGCAGCAAAGGAGGCAAGGTGTGCGCCTACACAAGCCTGCCGGAACAGTCTTAGCTCCAGGATGTAGCTCACCATTCGACACAAGTCTCCATCATTGCTACGCCGTTTTGACATGGCCACCGAGCTGCTGGAGAGAAAGGTACTCGAAACGTGGTTCGTGCGGCAACGGAGGGTCACGACCGATAGATTGATATCAATATGTATGTCACCAGTTTGACCAGGTTGTTTCTAACTATCAACGATTGAATATATGTCTGCGGAGTAGACAGTTTCGTTGACAGCTTCATCGCCACTGTCCTTCAGGCATCCCGTACTCCACAGCAAGACAGGTTTTCTTTGTCCAAATAATACACCTGAGCTTAATAACCAGCATTTGCGTCAGATACCAGCACATTCAAAGCTCTGGCGCTCTGGCTTCTGACGTTACCACCCCGTTGTTAACTTTTCGACAAGGTCAAAACGCCTGCCATGCACCTGCTCAAGGGCAATGCTCGTTTGTGCAGTCAGAATATCGTTTTCTTCTATGTATGGACCATAGATTATCAATGACTTGGCTACAAATTGTTGGGTGTCCTTCAACATACATGCGTTTCCTTTGAATAGCCGTATGCATGCATTAAAGAGGCAAGCATCTTCTTAACAACATCTGTATCCATGAACGTTATCATCTGCGCATCAAAACGCCAGCCTTTCCTTGCACGTTCACTATGCACGACTTCTTTTACTGCATCGTCGTCAAACACAGCAGCAAACCTGTTAGATAGCCTGGTCAATTATGAGCGCAGCGGCATACCGCCGGCGGCCGGCACAGCAGGCTCGTCCCGCTTCGATTTGGGTCGCATGCACCGTCTTCTGGCGGCGCTGGGAAATCCCCACATGGGTCTCAAGGCAGTACATGTGGCAGGAAGCAAGGGTGGGTTTGTGGTGCACACGGACCTAAGCTGTGTGCTACAGCACTACTGGACCGATGGATGCCATAGGGCGTAAATGTCAGGAATCCCGCAAAGGCATGCAAGCGCACGATTCAACAGCAACGACATGAGTTCTCACGAATAACTTTACGGGCAATAAATTGTGGCTTGCCCACATAAGCATCGGTCCAGCACTGTGTCATTGTCGCCTCCTTACAAAGAGGAATTGGTCCCGAGGACCGGGGGTCCTTCGCATGCCACATATTCCACGCTCTCTCTTCTCTCCCTTCTTTCCCTACCTCGCTCCTGCGTCAGTCCGTGTTCAAAAACCGTAAGTCGTTGCCCTTGGTGCCGGCGCCCGGTCAACTGCCCTCCTCTCCAAAACCGGCCATGGAAAAGTTAGATTCCCGGAGCGTTGGATTCCAGCAGCGAATGTGGCTGCGGCCTCTTTTTCTGACGTGACAGGCAGGGGGCTGCCTGGACAGCACGCAGGCCGCGGCCTGTGGTCCATGCCTACCTGCCTGTCTGTCTATCTGTATGCCGATTGCATGTCGCCTACCTGCCTACCCGCAGCGCATTATGAGGCGTGCGGTTGTGACGCTATTGTTGGCATCCCATGCGCGGCAAGGCAAAGCTCAAACCGCAGGACCCAAATCCCTTCTTTCTCCCCCACATCTTCTCCTTCTCAGAGAAGGCGGGCGGGGTGGGGGAAGGGGAGCTCCCCTAAGGACCTCAGAAACTGAACGGATACTGTTATACAAGAGGGGCAGATACGAAAGAAAACTGCCACCCAGGGCCCTCCCCAGTGCTGCATGCCGCGCTACTGCACCGGTGTGTTGACCCGCCCCGCGGCTCTCAACCCCGGCGGCAAGCCCTAGGGGTGGGGAGACATGGGGGGTTGGGGACCGGGGCCTGGTGATGGGAGCGAGGAGGGGGAGATGCAGGTGCGGGTCGGAAAGGAAAATTGCCGACCTCTTGGTCAGGAAGGCTGGAGTACGGGCACCCATCCCGTCCCCTAGCGACACGGTGCTGGGGGAGATAGCACATAGGATTTCTTTCCGTTCCGTGTCAAGCGGACCCAAATCCCAAACCCTAAGGGCCCCCCCACGGTCCCTAAACCCCACAGACAGACATGTCCTCCCCGCAGCTCACATCCTTAAAACACACATAACATACATACAGGTGTGCGGTCCTCAGAAAACCCGCCCGGAGCGAAACCCTCTGTCCCGATACCGTATTTACCCCAACAGCCAGTTACCAGGAAGACCACCTCCCCACAGCACATACAACCCCCTCCCCTCCCCTATTCCCCCGCGATCCCAACTAACCCAACCGTCAGGCAAGGGCTCCACCGTAACCCTGCTGGCCCACATCTTGGCAGCTGCCGGCTACCGTACCGGTGTGTACACCTCCCCTCATCTGCTGGCGCTGGAGGAGCGCATCGCGGTGGCACATCCGGGTGCCGTATCGCGCCGACCCCGTCCACTGCCGCCCGACGACCTGGCCTTCCTGATCGACCGGCACGGGGGCGCGATTCGGTCTACGGTGGCGGCAGAGGGCGGCGCGCTGAGCCACTTTGAGGTGCTGACGGCACTGGCGTTCAGGTGTGTGTGCCTGTGCTACTTATGCTATTGCTGCATGAGCGGCTACTGTACCTGCTTGATACCCTGAACCCCCCGGTGGGCTGTTTCGCACTGCAGATTCAGATTTTCCCCCTGTCTCGATATGTCTGTCTGTCTGTCTGTCATATTCTCTCTCTTCTTCTCGGTCTGCTCTCTAGGTACTTTGCGGACTGTTCGGTGGATGTGGCGGTGTTGGAGACCGGCCTGGGGGGGGCCACGGACGCCACCAACGTGGTGCCTGGCGCCAACTTGCAAGCAGCCGTCATCACGGCACTAGGTGAGGCCAACCATGCCCCCCTCCCGCCGCCACCACCACCACCACCACCACCACTATCCCCAAGAACGGCGTCGCAGGATTCCCAAGGGCTTTTGTATTGTGCGCTTTCCTCGTACAGTTTTGACGGTGACGGGTGCAAACCCAAACTGGGAAGTGGAAGGGAGCAGGTGGGGCAGGGTGTGGTGTGAGGCCGCAGTAGTGGCGGTAGCGGTGGTGGTAGTGGTGGTAGTGGTGAGGGAACAGGGGGGTGGTTGCGACCCCGGGATAAGGGGGTAAGGGGGTAAGGGGGTCCGCAGCAAGCTGCGGCACTTACCTTCTCCGAGGCACGCACACAAAACACACAGACAAATCTCCTCTCTCCACAAAACACACAGACAAATCTCCTCTCTCCACAAAACACACAGACAAATCTCCTCTCTCCACAGAACACACAGACACGCAACACACACACACACAGCACACCCTTCGTCACGTCTGTCGTCGCGGCACGCGGGCACTCGCTATCCAGGTATGGAGCATGTGGAGGCCCTGGGGGGCAGCCTCCGCTCCATCGCTGCTGCCAAGGCTGGCATACTGCGCCCCGGTCGACCGCTGGTGCTGGGCCGTCAGCTGTATGCGGAGGCGGAGGAGGTGGTGTTGACGGAGGCGGAGGCGAAGGCCTGCAGTCCCGTGGTGCGGGCGCAGAGCCTGGTGAGATTGGGGGGAGAGAGCCAAGCATGAGGGGTGTGAGACGGGGCAGGAGGGAGCCGGGTAGGGGGTGGGAAGCGAGTTGGGACGTCCGCTAGGGGGGCTTAAAGCGCGGGGGATGGTGGGAGAGAGAGAGAGAGAGAGAGAGAGAGAGAGAGAGAGAAAGAGAGGGGCCAGCAGTGGTTGCGGTCGCGGCCTCTGGTGCAAACGTGTCGTACACTCTTGTCCATTCGGGGAGAGAATATCCGTTTGCATCACCAGGTTGACGTGCAAGGAGGAGAAGAGAGGCTTAGTCCTGCTTAGCATTTTTACGCAGTGCCGTACGCATCGCTTCTCCAATTTGCAGGTTTCCGTACGATCGCACGGCATCGAGATCCAGCTTGACCGATGCGGGCAGATCGCCCGTGAGAGGCTGTCACTGGAGCTACTGTCGGAACCTGATTTGTACGGCACTAGCTTTGGAACCATGACCAACCGCAGTAGCGGCGGCAGTAGCCGATATCTGGAGGCGACGGTTGGCCTGGTGGGTGCCCATCAGCACGACAACGTGGCGACGGCGGTTGCGGCAGTTAGGGTGCTGCAGCGGGAAGGTGGTTGGCGGTTGGATGATGAGGCAGTGGTTGAGGGACTACGAGAGGCGCAGCTTCCCGGCAGGTTCCAGGTGCGTACGGCGGGAGAAGGGATGATGTACGGCTCTTGAATTGGCTGCATACGTGGAGAGTTCTTCCGCTGAGGTGGCGCACCTCTTCTTTCCGTTTTCCTAAATTTTTAAGTAATAATTATAGTATAGCAGTAATTTGGTAGAGCTCCATGTCGCAACAACTACAACCAACACACCCGACCATCCGACTCAACCGACACTCTTTCCCCCTCACCCTTCACACCATTGGCGTCTCACTGGCAGGTGGTCAAACTACCAGGTCCAGAGGGGCCCTATGTTGTACTGGACGGAGCGCACACCGCGGAGAGCGCCGCCGCCCTGACAGCCAGCCTGCGCGCCGCCTTTCCAGGGCCTACAACACCGCTGCAAACTCAACCAGCCGGCTCCGGAACCGACATTGGACCCGTGGGTCACCCCGTGGCTCTGGTCCTGGCTATGGCGGATGACAAGGACCACCGAGGGACGGTGACGGCGCTGCGGGCCGTGCAGCCCCGTGTGGCGGTGTTCACCTCGGTGCCCATAGCAGGGAGCTATCACCGGGCCGCAGCACCCGGTGAGGAGCTGATGAAGGGGGGGAGGGGGAATTGACGCACGTGGGTTATGCCGTACTGCCAGCTTTGAAAGGGCAGAGAAGATGACGACGGGGGGTAGGTTCCCCGGTGTGGGTGGGAGGGTGGGAGGGTGGGAGGGTGGGAGGGTGGGAGGGGTCGCTGGGCCCTTGACTCCCATCTTTTCTTCCCCCTTTCCCCTTTCCTTCCCCTTTTCCTTCCCCTTTTTCTTTTCCCTTTTTTTGTCCTCATATTCGTATGTCCGTCTGTTCGCCTCCGTGGAGGTTAGAACCGAGCATGGCGTTCACTCGCATGGGCCCCCCGGGCGTGTACTGGCCCACCGCAACACGCCCGTCCGACATGTGCACGTATGTCCCGGTGTGTGGCCCGCGTCCACACATCACCCCGCCACTGCCACCCCTCCCTTCCCCCGCCCACGATCAGGCACGTTGGCGGGTCATTGGCAGGCGGCGGCCATCCTGGCGGCATCCGCTCCATCCCCTGCCTCCCCATCTTCATCGGACGTCTCCCCAACCACACCCCAGCACCGACAGTATCGCCCCTTTCGTTGTCGCGAACTGGTACAAGCCAGTTTGGCGGCGGCGTTCGACAAGGCGCGTCAAGAGCTGCGGGGCGTGCGTGCGAGCTTGGGGTTGGCTCCAGGGGTGGGTTCCCCCGGGGTTATCCTGGTGACTGGCTCCCTGCACGCGGTGGCTGCCGCATACAAGATACCGGAGCTACAGCCGCTGCTACAAATGGGACCGTGACGCACAGGGAGCGAGGGATGATGAAAAGAGGGAGCCGGGTAAAGAGGAAAGAGTAAAACGTGTTTTTTTGAGGTGCAAGGAAATCGAGGCGGAGGCGGTGAAGGCAGCGGTGATGGCAGGAAGGAAGGAGAGAAAAGGGGGTGAGGTGTTGCGGTGACGAAAAATCGGTTTTTCCTGTAGTCGTTGTTTGAAGCGAGAAGGTGCGCGTTTTCTCGTGTCTTGATTTCGGGTAGCGCGGTTTCGCTCTTTTTATGGTGAAAGGCCGTTAAAAAGAAATTTGGTCAAATGGCAGCGTTAAAGGCAACAGCAGCAGGAGCAGGAGCAGCAGCAGCAGCAGCAGCAGCAGCAGCAGCTGCAGCAGTGCCGTAGTTTTGGTGTGAAAGACGGCGGCCGGTGATTATGGCGGCGGCGCTTTGAGGGGGGGAACCTGGAGTGGATGTTTAGGTGTATTCAGACAGCAACAACAACAGCAGAAGCAGCAGTAGCGGCAGCAGTAGCAGTAGCAGTAGCATCGCCTTTTGTGTCCCTTTGGTAAGAGCCGTCCGATCCTCTCTCATCCATTTCATAGCTTCATGTTTCAGCTGATTAGTGCGGCTGGTCAGCCAGCTAGCTGGTCGGCTCAGCCCACACCACCGCGAAGGGGTCCGTTTTGCCGCTACACATGATGCGCCCCCTCCCTCCCCTCCGCCCTCCTCGCGGCCCGGAGTGCGGAGCGGCTGCTAGGAAAGTCGGGGGCCCTCGACTGTGCGGAAGCGAGAACTACTTGGCCTAGCTGGCCTTAGTTGACCATCAATAAGGGAAGCTGTTGAGTTGGAAGATTATTCCCTGGGATGGGAGCAAAGCACGAGCGCTTCCTGGTTCTTGGTGAGTTACGAGCGATGGGGCTGGAAAGGCACGGTGCGGGTTCGTTCAGAGTTGAAACACAAGTTCACATAAATGCGGATGCGCATGCGCATTGCTATGGCTGCATTTGAAGCGATTCCAGAGGATGTTGCGAGGTAGGGCATTTGGAAGCGCAAAAGGCCGTTGCTCCAAAACATGCGCCCTCCAAAACAGGGCGGGCGCGGTACTGTGGGCGCTTGGATTTCCGCTCTAGACAGGCACAAATAGAGAGGCCATCTTTTCTCCTTTGCAATGGAGTTTCCTCGTTTTTGCATAGCTTTTCTGGAATGGAATTGCGTTATGAATAGCAATCTGTAATGCGGATTGCACGTAACCTCGAATCTCTGGACGTCTAATCGAATATGCCTTGGTATTACATCTGGTAGCATTACAAGTAAATCATCTACACCGCTCGCAGGTTTGCTCGCTTTGGGCTAGCTAGCCACGACGTTTCACAGTCGTTTCTCTCTAACCTTTCGGACCGTTTCCGACGGATTTCATCTTCAAGAGCTTCAGGGGCTAATCCTCACATGAGTTAAAATAATTTCAATTCTTTATTGTATCATTCATCTTAATTCGTGTTAACGCACTGCTGGCACAGCAGCTGAGGTAATGGTCGCACCACGGCCACGTGAAACAGTCCTGCAGAAAAGGACGGGCTTCTCAAGGGTTCGTGTCCTCACAATCGTAACGATTCCATCGGTTCTGCTCAAGCCTAACATGGAACTTACTGCAAGTGTCTTAATGTGACACGATGCAGCCTGGCTTGCGGCACAGGACTCATGAATGTGTGCGCTTTGTCTTCGACTTCTTCAGGCGTTCCATGCGCTGAAAAGTGCAATATTAGGAATCACGGGCACGCTATAACTTTGCAATGTGCGCTACATAGCTTGCTGTGTAATAGTTTTGCATATTAGCATCCCGCGGGATGACGGCCGTCATTCATTGTGTGGCAGCAGCTTGCCAGCAAACTATCTGACTACCATCATGACTAACGATAATGCCTCAACAGCCAACGAAATCCTAGTCTAGCTATAGCCAGCAACCTAAACCTTCCCGCACAAGGAAAAGATCATCCAAGTTAATCCACGTCCCCCATCTTCATCGCCCGAGTTGTTCCGAATTGAATACAAAGGGTTCACGCACAATCCTCACATCCTGGGATCCGTCAAAACTCACTACTACATTACTTACGTCGTGCAAGGCGACAAATAATAAAAAAGGGCGGCAGATAGATGCAGCAAAGATGCAGCCAAAACAATACGCTGCTTGCAAAAGCGTCAAGTATAGGTCCTCGTCTTCCTCTCCTTCTCTATAGACTTCAGAAAGGGCCAAAGTCTCACAAACGCTAGCAAGTTTCCGGTGCCGCCGATGGTGCAAACGAATAGGGCTAAAAATAGATGTTAAGCTTTTGGACACCTCTTCACTCAAGATGCAAAAGAAGGCAAAAGATCACCCTGGCTTTATTCGGCGCGGCATGCGGGACCAGGTGGTCGGCGTGGCGACAAAAGGACTGGCATACAGCTAACGGCACCTGCCGCCCGGCAGGAGGACGCGAAAAGCACCACCACCAAGGCCACCACCGCCACCCACGCATCGCCCAAAATCAAAAGAATATGTTGGGAAAAGCAGGAAGACACGCTTTGCCTCTCCCCAAAGGAGAAACAACGGGCGCCACCTTCACCCCTTCGCACACAAACTCCGGCCTCGTGATCGTGCACGAGGCACAATACAAGACTTCCATCATTTCGCCACCACCCTCTCCCTCACTACTAGGCGCGATCCGTGTAATCAAAACGCTGACATCATCACTGTACGAGTATGCAAATGATACAACAGATCAGTGCAGGAAGGTGTTATCGGCCTCCGTTTCACCTTCCCGACCCGCCAGGGCCGAGAGACCCCTCACCACGGGGTCCCTACGCGCCTGCCGGCCCCCGTCTTCTCCTTCTTTCCTCACGTCATCTCCTCCCCTGGCACATCCCCTCCACACACACATCCCTTCGACTCAGCTCAGCTCACCTCCTCTCGTCGCCACATAATCACTCCTCATCCGTACATAGCCGTACATCATCTGGTCAAGTGAACGTTCATGCATATTCTATCCTGTACATCATCACACGCGCACCCCGCCCCTAGAGTAGAAGCCCGGAGTGCGCTCCGAAACCGTATTGTCCTCGTAAATTTTGACACGGCGAATGGGAGGTGAGTAGAGGTGCAGTGTGACTCCACCCTCCGGCTGCCAGCTGTCGGCCCCAGATCCGAAACCGTTACGTGCGGTCTGCTGCCACTCCGCCAGCTGCTCGGGGCTCACGTGGCATCCCACCGTGTGAAGTCCCAAGTGGTCGCTGACGTATCCCACATCGCCAATCTGCGTGTGGGCAAACGATTTCCGTACAGTAAGGAAGAAAGGCGCCATACATTGCGACCACTGCGTGGCGGTACCAAGCAAAGCATTCGAAATGGTGGCCACCGGCATCATCAAGGGCCCCCTGGAGCCGCCATACAAAAACGTATGGCTGGAAGCCGACTGCAGTGCCGTTGCCACTACATGGCAACGGCGCAACCGCGCTGCAGTCGGCTTCTTCCGTCGCCCAACCGCAGAGGCCCTCCGCAGCTCCCTCCCCGGGGGGGGGGGACTCACCCGCAGGTCTGTGGTCCTAGTCGCCTCCACATACACAGTGTCGCCAGGCTTCTCGTCGCTGCCGTCACCGCCACGTACGGCACTGGCGGCGGCAGCGGGCGGATCGGTCCTTTGGTACTGCACCTCCCGCATCTCGCCATCCAACACCGTGAGCCAGCAGTGCGAAGTCGCGTGGTTATGCACACGGGACACCTGGCCTCCCTTCCAGCAAAGCACCTGGTGGGTGTATGTATGTATGTGTTGCGATACATGGTAGCGCTAACGAGAGTTGGATGGCAGCCAAGCTCATGTCGTTCAAACAAAGAATATAAGATGGAGCCAATGAAAAAACAGTGCCCCCCTTAGTGCATTTGACAACTCACAATGAGCTCGAAGTCGTCGTTAGCCTCTACGAGGTTCCGAACGTAGTGCAGGTCGTTGAACAGAGCAAAGCGGTGCCAGTCGCCTCGGTTAGTCGTGGCATAGCACTGAAGCAGCAGTAGTGGCAGCAGCAACGAAAACGACAGCAGCAGCAGCAGCAGCAGCATTCATCAAGATTGTGTTGATTCGGTATTCAAGGAAGACTGCAGGAGGCGAGAAACGGCTGGAAATTATAAAGCAAGGTTGAAGGCAAATGCTGGGCAAGCGAAATGGTTCACTAAAACAGCGAACTCTTCAAGTCGGCAGGATTGATCTTGCATGTGAATGGCACGCTCGATGAGAGGGCAATCGGGTTAACACAAGATGCCCATTAATACCCAAGTACTGCAAACCAAAGGCACATTTGCGTAAAAGAAGGTGTGGTTTGCACGTATAGGAAAGTCAGGGAACCTTGTAGTACCTTGAGCAGCTCTACCACGCGCTGGTTGAGGCGGTTGAAGGATGCTGGGTCTTGATTGTTGTCAATCACATAGCCGGCATCCTTCTCAGCGTTGAACGCTGCGCGGAGCTCGCTGAGGAGCTGCTCAATAAGCAGCGGCGGTTGGGACTTCTCTGGGCCGCTATAACAACTCCGGGGGATCACATCAATTGGAGGAGGTGCCTGAATCACAAAATTGGATTGCATTTCGACAGGTTGATAGCAGCAGGAATGTATTTGTGACCAAAGGATGGCTTTAGCGCGCAACTGGGGTTCGGCAAGAGCACCTGGAAATGGAACACTCCGGTTTATTTAAAGGGCTCGAGACCCTTTTACTCGCTTCCCCAGAAATGTTAGAAACCTATCAATTATTCTCCATGATTTGCCTCCCCGTGGGCCAACGGTAACTGCGCTATGACGACCCGTTTTCAGCAACCAGTTGCGACATGTATGCAGCTACAATGTCTTAGTTACTTGAATCTGAGTAATATTGAACCCATTCCACCCTCAGCGGCAGCCGAGCTGTCACCGGTCTCACCTTGCAGTCGACCACGACAACACCGTCGTCAGTTCCTGATATGTGAGTGACTGGCATTATATGAAAAATTTTGATGAACCCGATGTAATTAAGTCAAGCTTTGGGTCAACCTTAGGCGAAAAGCTCTGCTTGCTGAAAAGGCAGTCCTTCGTGTAAAGCTATCGTTCCACCTCGAAGATCGTAAAAATATATTTGAGTTGTTCTAATAAAGGCCTTAACGCTTTTAACATCAGCAACACCAGTGGAGGCCTTACCGCTGCAGCGAGGCCATGCGCGAGGCCAAGCCAACTGTTTCCGGTACGTTTCTCACACTTTACGACATGTAGGCGCATAAACTTCAACGGAACCCGCTATTTTGTGAGTTTGTTAGATTTGTCAGATGTTAGATTTAGCGCATCGGAGGTTACCCGTCGGGAAACCCATCTATATACCCATGCCGGGACTCGTAAGGCGCTGCGATGCCTTCGCAAGGAATGGCCCTGTCCATCTATTCATTACATGGTAAACATGCATTACAAACGTTATTTCATGCAAGGAAGAGTTAGAAATAAACGCAGCGAGCTACGGGTATGGCCTGGTGTGGAGTCCTGTGGGTAATCCTTGTTAATGCAGGCGGCCTCCAAAGCCTCCAACTGGTTTCATCTCCTGGAGCCACGTAATCCCTTTCACATGTTGTTGTTGTTGTTGTTGGTGGTGGTGGTGGTAGAGGATGGCCAATGAATGCCGTGTTACTCTTATAACCACGCTAGCGTGCACGTGCTGCTAACTTCCCGGAAGCGTCCTCCACGCAAGGGCAGGTGCAGAGGGGCGCTTTCCTCAGTTTGAGCTCAATTTTGATATTATGGTGGGTGTGGCGGTGGTGGTGGTGGTGGTTCGGAGAGGGGTGCTTCTGGCTGGTGGTGGATTCTGTGCGGCTGGGACTTGCGTCGTGGTTCTTGGGGGTTTTAAACAGGTATCAAGTCCGTCGTGACGTAAACGTAGCTGAAAACTGTAACCGCAGTAACCCCGGAGAGTGAAGCGCAGTCCTTGTTTGTGAGGTCGTAGTTTGCGATATCATGACCAGCGGGCTGAATTATGGTCACAGGGGCCGCAGGAGTAAGGAGGTGACCGTGATGTGGCTGATCGCCATATCGATACAGCCTATCATCGTTTACATCGTATGATGCGGTGCGCTCCATAGCCCTTCATGTCCTTGCCTCACAGCTAGTCAGCCAGGCAGCCAGGCAGCCGGCCAGCCGACCAGCCGGCCTCTTCGCATCACATAACTATTATTTTTATTTACTGGACACGGACATCGACGTGTCCAGCACCGAGTCGCGTCGCGCCCTCACACCCTTACCCTCGCACCCTCAGACCCCACCCGCACCACCAAGACCACACACACAAACACAGGATGTTCACTCAAAAAGGTTCCGCACAGCCACAACCACACACACGCACAGCCACATCAATTTAGCGTCACATCCAATACACCGTCTTTCCTTTACGTTGCATCTCTGTGTGAATATGCGGCAACACATCTCCACATAGCCGGCAATGGCCAAAAGCTCGAGCCCTGCAAAGCGGCGACTTGCCGCCGCCTGCCGAGACACACGCACGAACGAACACACGTGATTGCACGTGTGCACGCACCCACCTGCAGTCATCGACATCCTACGTTTTTGGGTTCTATAGGTACATACATACATACATACATACATACATACATACATACACAGTGATTTTTTTTCATTTAGGGGGGGTCTCAATTTATTCCAACCTAAGTAACAAAGTTGCTAGCGTCGCCGTTCTGTATTCCTTAAGA